TCAAAGCATTTGTATATACTGTCTACACCAAACAATGTAGCCTCCATTTGATAAATTTATGAATCATTTATAAATATAAGTAGCAATTGAAATTAATATTTGATTTTGAATAAGTTTATACAATATGACTATAGATGGAACCATTTAGGCCCTATTTGGGCGGCATTTTTTTTAAAAAAAAAAAGTATTTTTAAACAATAATTTGATATTATTTCAATCACATATTTTTCAGTAAAATAATATTACACGTAAATTCAAAATTTTTCCTCAATTTTTAATAACACATTTTTCATCAATCTACTATTCCAAAATAAATTCTTTCAAAATAATGTGGCTCAAACACACGCTTAGCCCTTGTTTGAGTCACATTCTTTGAAAAACAAATGAATTTTTCAATAGTGTTTTAACATTATTTCAATTGTACATTCTTCAATAAAATAAAATTACACGCGAATTCAAAAAATTTTTTGTATTTTTTAATCACATATTTTCCATCAATGCACTATAGAAAAATTCATTCTTTCCCCCAAAATGAGGCTCAAACAAGATCTCAATAGAATTGATGACATATTATACTGGATAGGTCTCATCCACATCATTGGCCCACCTATCGGTTAGATGGCTCAATTCGCTGATATGCACAGGAAATATTTGTTCTGGATTTTTGTATGCAACGTTCTAGATAAGCAATAATTGTACGCAATGCACTGGACTGTTTGTTCAGTGAACATGACCGTTCTTCTTGTAAACCTTCTTCGAGACTTTCATTTTTTTGGAAAAAAGGAAACAAAAGAAAAAATCAACCCTCACTTGACATGAGAAGAAGTACAATAGAGAATAGCTCTTGAAAATTTGTATTTAAGCAAGATAAATAATCATTCATTATTTATGAAGAAAACATTTCCCGGTACTTTTGGAGGTGTAATGTTGTATCATATGTTCTTCGGAAAAATTAGAGTAGACTTTCTAACCTCTTAACTAGTGTGATTTTGGCTTCCGAACATCTAAAATTGAGATTATAAGTTTTCAACCTATCTATTTAAACTTCTAAATATGGGTCCTAGCGAGACAAAAATCATTAATGTAACTGTAAGCATTAAAATCACATGTGAAAGTCACGTTAAATATGTGCATCTGGGTCCTCATACTAAATCTTTGACAGTTTTGCTCTTCAACTTTAATTCACACGTTTTTTAAAATTCAGATTACAATTTCTATCACATGGGAAACTAGATTCGAAAATATAATTAAGTTGATGACTCAATTTATTTCATTTTGAAGGTTGAGAACCAAATTCTGTTAATTGATTAGTTATGAAGAAAACATTTCCTGGTACTTTTGGAGGTGTAATGTTGTATCATGCGTTCTTCGAAAAATTTAGAGTAGACTTTGTGACCTTTTAACTAGTGTGATTTTGGCTTCCGAACATCTAAAATTGATTTCTAAATATGGGTCCTAACGAGACAAAAATCATTAATGTAACTGTAAGCATTAAAATCACATGTGAAAGTCACGTCAAATATGTGCATCTGGGTCCTCATGCTAAATCTTTGACAGTTTAGTTCTTCAACTTTAATTCGCGTGTTTTTTAAAATTCAAATTACAATTTCTATCACGTGGGAACCTAGATTCGAAAATGTAATTAAGTTGATTACTCACGTTTATTTCATTTTGAAGGCTGAGAACCAAAATTCTGTTAATTTATATTAAGAGAACCTATTTTTTGTCATTTTCTTTAGATAAACTTGAATTGAATTTTATTTTTTTATTTTTTTATTTTTTTCATTAGTTTTCATATACATATATAGGCTTGTTTTGGGAGGGCGGGGGTCACTCCTGGGGCCGTAGTTCTAGGCCGGCTCATGACACCCATATCAAATTGGTACATCCGAGTGATGGAGGAAAGTCTTGATGAAGCTAAGTCTACTAATATAAGAAAGAAGTACCCCAGTTACTTTAGGCACGCTCATTAAAATTAATTCTAGACTTTAATTTAAATCAAAATTTTAATTTTAATTCCTACCAACCAGGACTATTAATAAAAAAAAAAAAAAAATCGTCGACTTCTTTTTTTGAAAAAAAATTAAAATAAAAGTATAATTGGTAGTCTATGGTCTACAAGAAATATTCCATCCATCCCATTTATATAGACAAACTTTCCTTTTTTTTTCTTGTCCCAATTATATAATTCTTTTTTTTTTTATTAAGAATGTTTTGTTTTGTTTATTTACTAATATACACTTATTTAATTTGCTTAGTTACAAGTAATTTTCTCCACTTAATTTTGAAATTGTATAAATATATATAAAGTCAAATTAGGAAAGTTTTTGACAAAAAATGCTTTTTCAATAATATTAAATCCGAGTTCGGTATTGATTTAAATTTAAATCAAAGGCAAACAATTAATATTAAGTACATATTTCATAAGCCCAACAACTTTTCAATCATATATTTCAAAAATTTTGATCAAAATCTAAAATAATTAATTTTAATTTCCACCAAACAAAGGTCTAGATAAAATTTCTTAATCCGTGTGATAGAAAATAAAATCAACTTTTATAATTGAGATGGACAGAGTTAGTAAAACACATTAGTGAGGGAAATGACATACAAATAATTTGTGAAATTTACGCTCCCCGGGGCACATTCGAGTTGGTGGAACAATTGCATTGGTGGGCTCACAAAGCTAGCGTGGAGAGTTCCATTCCTGGAAGGCAGCATCTTGGAAGGGGGATTTATCTCGAAGGCAAGGTGTTGGAAGGCAGTGAAGAGAGCTCTCTTAGGGGAAGGAGTATAAACCATGCAGGAACCTGGGAGTCAATAAGGGCACAACTCGCGATTAACTTCCTCAAGCTAATGAGGGGCCGGAAGTTTGAGGTCCAGGAATTAGTCTGGCGAAACTGGGAGATCTGGGTATCCAAAAAAAAAAAGAAATTGTGAAATTTACGATGTAAAAATGGTACAAACATCGAAACATATCCTCTTCCAAAATAACGGCGTGTATTGTCAATCAACAAATTCTTATCCCACTTTTTATATTTTCACTTTGCAGTGAAGTGTCTAATATTCAACACCACAATGATTTGGGGCAATATATTAATTTATTAACAACTTTACACTGTGCCTCCTAAACTTGGGTATTTCAACCAAAGCTTCACCTAGGATTTGGGACCCACCTATATCTCTGTTTAGAGATGATAATTTGAACCGTCAAAATCGAAAACTGCGGTTAACCGAACCGAATGGGGCAAAAAAAACCGAACCGATGGTGCAATGGGGCGGATATGGTTTTGATTTTAATAAACCGGTTCGTAATAGTGCGAGTATGGTATTTACGTCGTCGAACCGAAACCGAACCGATTACCCGCTAAAAAAAAAAATTGAATTGATAATGGGCTTTACACTACTTTTCTATCCAAATCAAAACAAAATCCCTCCCCTCCTCATTACATCTACCTGACTCATTCGGCCAGTCTACTTACCATTAGCCCATAATAGCATTAGTATGACAGTATATAAATGTAAACCCTACTCTCCACAACCACAAATTCACACACGGCTCCATTGCCTCTACGGTCCAAATCGTCGTCGCCTCCGAAAATTTGTTACATTTGTTAGTCATTCATTACTGTTGATCATGTAAAAACAGAGTTCGATGTTTTTCTAGACGTGCCAATATTGCAAAGGATGAATAGGAATCAATTTTGAATGTTGATCTATGCTAGTAAGACTTGTATGGAAGAATGCATCAAGTAACTTCGATGCACAACAATTAAGAATGAAGGAAAAGTTTAGTATTATTATATTTATAATATTGTTTGTTAAATTTGTATTTTACAATTGAAAATTAGGATAATGTTTGCATTTACGTTTGGAATATTGTTTGATAATGTTTGCATTTTTGTTTGGAATATTGTGTTTTTGTTTTCATTAACTTTTTTTCATAAATTGTTTTATATCAATTTGACGGATGAACTTATAAAAAATAATTTATTTTCGTGGTTATTAATCGAACCGAACCGTGCCGAACCGAGATAAAAATCGAACCGAACCGAACCGAATCGATTTACGTGGTTATGGTGCGGTTATGGTATGGTCAAAAATTTGGTGGTGCGGTTATGGTTTTGGTCGAACCGACCCATAACCGAACCGTTGCCAACCCTATCTCTGTCTGAGAAGACTACAGCCACGTGCTTCAACCTTCCAAAAAATGGTGAACGATTTCAAAACTGGCGAATAATAATTTGCCACATGATCAACTGTCAAACTTGTTGTAAACTTTCAAGCATGATTGTTTGCATTCATGGTCTTGTAACAATCAGAAGCTAATCATTCGTGTACTTTGTGCTTAATCTATAGATTAATTTTGGACTGGTAAATTAATTTCTTGTCTTCACTACCATGGAATGTGCATAGAGCAAAGGATCACGAGCATTTATGTCAATTGATTCAGTTGTTGATCATATCAAGTCGTACTAACTTATAAGAGTTATCTAAATTGATGAGGCCCAAATTTCAAGTGTCGATGAAGCGCAAGGAGAACACTAAGGGTAGGGAATTGATCACACATTCATTTTCTACATTTTAGACCTCCAAAACCCATTATACCCCCCATATTCGAGATAATCTAATTAAGCCTTCTTACAATCCATGAACATATAGAGGAAATTTTAAATTTTCGGGAAGTTAGAGATTCTCATAAACGTATGTGTACAAATTAAGAGATTCTAACCAATTTTTGTCACATTTCGTATTGCTTCATGCTTTGTTGGTCTCATATATATTCTCATTTCTAGCTGAAGATGACAGCAAACAATCTTTCAACCGTGGAACGTCAAATAGTGAAGGGAGTTGGATTTCCGACCCTAATTTATAAATACGAAAATGAATAGAAAACATAAGCTGAATAGAAACATAACATCACTTAATTAGAAACTAAAAAACGAAAAAAGTTGAAAGTAAACAAGGTAGAATCCTTCATAACAAGGGTAACATTTTTTTCATGGAGAATTAAGCAATCTGGTGAGCTCGAGGGAAGCCCGTGACGAGCCAATGTTATTATCTTCGGCCCTCGGGCCATAATGCCAGCCATTGTAGAAGTTAGTTTCTTGCTTGAAAGTGTGTTCATCGTGCATGGGGAAAAGAGGTAGAGTTTCAATTTCTGGGACTTGTTCTTCTTCTTGCTGTTCATCTTCTAGGGTTTCATAATCAACATATTTTCTTTTTTCAAGAAATGGGTGGTAGCCTCCTCCTGAAGAATACGGGTCGACTCCGACCCGTACAAAGTTTTGACCCAGGCTAGATCCATTGCCATCAACACTTGAAGATATGGAACAGTCCTAGTTTATTTGAATTCAAGAAATGGAATTAAAGAGAGAAAGAGACCTGTACTGTTGGTCAAAACTTGTATTTCTATAAACTGCAATTTAATAGTAAACAAGTTTTCATAGCAATAAACCCTGAAAACTTGAATTCAATAACTAAGAAATCACCATCAAGGTTCATTTTCTTGAGAAAAATGTAATATTTCATCTCTGTGTCTTCTAATGCTTCTTTGCACCAATAAACTTAGGGGTTTTCTTCTTCACGGTAATTTTTCATCAAATTTATACTTGAAAAGAAACGACGCCTTCTGATATTTATCTTCCGTAAACAAAATATAAAGCGTGCCATTTCATCAATTTGTGATAAACAGGTTAACAACTACTGTACTCACTCTGAAACTCTTCTCCATGGCTACAGATCCATAGCCAGGGTGTCCCACAGGGCCAATATTCAGGACACCAGGAGAAGAACTTGATGAAGATGGAAAACCTGATCATAAAACACACCAAATTAGAAAACCCTGAAAAATCATGATGTAATGCAAGAACCCTAATCACTATATGAGCATCTAATAATAAGAGATTGTAGGATCTTAAGAAAATGTAATATTGACCTGCAGCAGTAAGATTGTTAGGGAAAGGATGATCTTGATGGTATTTCCAAACACCGGCAGCAGGTGATCTGTGGTGCATGGGGACATCAGAGGCAGAAGGAGTAGTACTAGTGAAGCGTTTCTTCTGCCTCTCACGAGCTTTATGGTTCTGAAACCAATAAAAGACATTTTTGCCTTCAATCTTTCCGTACTGCCTCAACTTGGCAGAGATCCTCTGTATCTGCTCAGCAGATGGAGACCTAACTCCATTGTTGTAGTAAAGGTCTTTCAAGATTCTTATTTGCTCAGTAGTGGGTGTCCACCTAGTACTGCTTTGCCTGCATAGAAAATTACTGCTTTTGTTTCCCCCATCTTCATTTCCCTGTTGCTGATGATTTTGTTGAGTTTCCATCGTCGATATTCACTTTTCGGAGAAGAAGAAGAAGAAGATAGGTGAAATGGTGAAAGTGTGCGAAATGTTGAATTATAAAGAGACGGGTACGGATAGGGCTAAGCACATGGAGGGTGATAGAGATAGAAAGAGGAGGATATCAATCAGAGAGATATCTGGGAGAGAAGTACAGAAGTTGACAGGGACAACTATAAAGGAGGAATTTCTAACACTCTTTGCTTGAATCAAAAGGCAACAAAAAGTTGTGATTAAGATTAGAAGCTAAGAAGAGAAGAGAAGATGTGAATGAATGAATGAATGAATGTTTGTGATTTCAAATTTTGTTTAATGGAGATTTGGTCCTTGATTATCAGTAAGCTCAAAAAACACACTTGAATTGTAGGTTTCTCTAATTATATGCAAATCATAATGTATGAGACAAATAATTCATCCCTTCTTACAGCATTTTTTCAAGTATTTTTCTTAATTTAACAGTTCTCAATCAGCAGCCACCCTATTGAGTAGGGAGCTGGAGAATGAGCCTGAAAAGATGGCAGGGAAGCCCAAAAGCCAAATAACTTTCAAAAATTTACCAACTTTAGAACCCCATCTCTCTCTCTCTCTCTCTCTCTCACACACACACACACACACACACAGATTTAAAAGAGTACAGAAGATGAATCATGATTTCTCGGCAGTACCTATTTTAGGAGTGATCTTATTGATTGGGGATAATATTTCCAACAAGAAGGAAGAAACACAGTGAAGTAGGGGCATGTATAGGGTTTAACCATACAACGAGGAATGGGGTAATTTCATTTTTGGACACTGAATTTTCAGTAAAATTTCAATTGGGTCACTTAATTTTAATTTGTCTCAATTATATCACATAACTTCAGTCACCTTGTTAGCCACCGTTATTAAAATTAACGTTTCAGTTCTATGAAGACGTTAAAAATTGATGGCAATATGTGTGTCTTACTATTCTTGATAAATATGCTACAAAATCAAGTTGTGAGTGCAAATTTTGAAAAAGATACTACCTGATTATGGATAATCATTTGTTTGTTCATATATATTGATCAGATGACATGTTTGCCTGAAACGAAAGACGCTTCACATCTCAATAAATTTTTAACGGCAATGTAGCTTTAACACGCTAACTTCAGTAATAAGAGCAAATATAGTTGCTAATGTTGATAGTAAATTGAAGTCTAATGATCGGATTAAGATAAACTAAATTTGGGTGATTCAATTGAAATTTCAGTGACCAAAAATGAAATTAATCCAAAAAGGAATAATCATGATAATATCTCAATATTAATTACTCTATTATCCAGTGATTGCCACCAATTATAAGTTTGTTATAGCTTTATAATTATAATTAACTTAAATGTATTTTCAAAATATATATTTCTTCGAGATTAAGGGAATTATTTGCAAAAATTTGTGTATATTTTGATAAAAGTTGATAAAAATTGTGTGATTAATATTAATCGTAAACTTTACCGTCAAATTCTTAGCAATTTTTTAAGCCAAACAAGTGCTAAATTAAAAAATTTTGAGATTCTATTATTGACAAAGTTGACAATTTGAAATGGATCCCCTATATTTAATAGATAATCAGTGTTCTAAAAAGCGTAAAGCGTGAATGCTAAGTTTTGGTTTAGGCATAAAAAAAGTGTTTTAGATCAATTTAAAATTATCTAATTACTAAAAAAACATAAGAAGTGTGCGCTAGGCACGACTAGGAGCGAAAAAGTGTGCAATGAGACGTTTTGCACTTGCTTCACACCTAGATCCGCCTAAACACATTTATACGTCGTTTTTTGGAACACTACTTATTATTATAGGTTGCTACAGAAAAAAGAAAAATATTTGTGTATATATGAGGTCATAGACTTATTCAGTTTCCAAAATAATGTAAACAATATAATCTCTTATTTCTGAAAACTAATTAAGCGTCAGTCTTTTAAATATTTCAAAATCCAGAAATGGCATTCCAATTGGGACCATTTCTTAAATGGGAAAATAATTACTACAGAGAGGGATAAATACAAGGTAGTAATAATGACTATGATGTCGATATATTTTCATCTTCTTCAAATTATATAGTATACATATCCTCATTTTTATGCCCCCGATCTCGAAAAAGTACTTTTATATTGGATTGAACATAATTAAGAAAGAAAAATATGTAGTTGTAACTTTAACTCTTTAGGATGATTGAGTCTCTAACTAATATTTGGCAAATAAGATCGAGTTAATTTCCCACCAAAAAAACTTGAACTCGTTAGTCACCGGTTGCTCTTCATATTCAACCCGGTCACATACGAAGATGCAAGCGACGTCCCATTAGAATGAAAGTCCAACGTTGGCCAATCTGTAAAGAATGAGAGCTGAACAACGGACTAAAACTCCCTATGATAAAAATGCAAAAAAAGATAGCCAAGACTAGATGTCTCAAGCCGTGCTCCAAGTAAACATGCAGTCGTGATAACTAACTCTTTTCTTGCAACAAGATTGATTTCATGATGACACTTCAATTGATTAGGTTTCTTATTTATGGAAGAAATTTCGATATTAATAGATTAGACTTGTGCTGTATTTCCAACTTTGAGATTTGCCTCGTTTCAACAAATTAAAGAATGCTACACTTACAAAGGAAAAACATACAGGTACTTCACAGAATACACATATTAATGGGATCCACCTCAATAAAATATTCCCATGGGGCTCACCCCATGCGTCTTCCCTATAAAAGCTCGGTGAGAAAATGCATTTTCCCGACAAATTAGTGTAGACCGAATTACAATTTTTTTTTTTCAACTTGTAATTACCATAAACAAAAAGGTGAAGCAAAACAAAATAATTGGAAGAAGCCCTATAGTGCACAGACTAAGAAACTATTGAGGTAGGACTGATCTCCTTGAATTCATCCTTTTTAACAGCCTAATTCCACTTTTTCCACAAAATTCTGACTGCTATCACTTGGTTCAACTTTTGAGATTGTTCGATTTTGGGAATATTCTCCCTCTCTATTTTTCCTTTCTTTTTCACGCATTTACATTTCACACCCTGCGTCTGTAAAAGATAAAGAATTATAATACCTATCTTTGTGATCGTTTATCAATTGTAATGTTTAATTTTTGATCATTTCAAACTTGCTGCTTGAAGATGATTTAATAAAGGACCTTATTACATATACATCAAGCTTTACATAATATGTTACATAATGTCACATATTACTTTGTTATTTGTCAGTTTAAAATACAATCAACCTTTTCGTCCAATATTTTTCATCTACATCATTTTATGTACAAGTAGCATAATCATTCAATAAATTTATCATAATCCGTCACAGGTTCACATAAATATACCCATTTCTCTCTCTGTTTATTTTCCAAGTATAATCATGGTCCATGGATTCCATCAAAAAGAAATAAGGGTCTTTGATTTGTCCGTAAGAAACTCAAAATCTGTCCTCTTATCCAAAATCTTGAACTACCTCATAAGATAGTGCCTACTTAGACTTGCAATAAGTACAATAACCCCCAACCCTTTTCTTTCGGGTAATAATCCTCTTCATGTTTAGTTCTATACCATATCTCTAAAGATATGCAGGTGTCAATCATCATAATCTCTCTTTCTCCTCGTTCTCTCTCTGCAATTCTGATTTTCTTTATTTACAAATAAATACACAGAAAGAAAGAGACTTGCAATCTGTATGAAGAAAATTCTTAGGTACTACACAATGCATGTTATGTATTTATTAAATGGTGATAAGATTATTAAATTTTGATGTCAGTCGAGAATGTTCAAAATCTCGTGAATGGATGACAAAAAAGAAAGAAAAAATGGGGACTTAACCATGCGACTGCATGGATTAAGCTCATGTGGTTGCATAAGGGCCTCCCGAGAGTTTGAGGGGGGCTTGTGCTATAACCATGCCGTCCCATGGTCACATATTGTGATTGTTATGAGCCGTTTTTTTACCCTTTTATTTAAAATTGGTGGCCTTTCAACCCAATTTTGACACCACTTCGTGAGAACTTGTCTGGGCCTATAAATAGGTTATCAAAGTTCAAAATATATATATATATATAATGAAAATCATATGAGCTTCATTTCTTGTTCATCCATAATATATTGATCTTTTTTGTCTTCACATAACCATTTACATTCTTCTTCACTTGTTCACTTTGAAGAAACACTTTTGCTTTTTGGTGTTCTTCATCAAGGTTCGTTTAATCCTACGAACGGTTTGTCGGAAATCCTTCAAAAACATTGAAAAAGAGACAAATAACGCTTGAAGACAGTGAGATTAATTTGGTGTTCAAGCCTTCGTTGATATATATATCTCCTTCCTTCTTTATTTTGATTTGTTTTGTTCTCCATTGCTACAAAATTTTCAACAATTTCAAACGTTATTCGTTATTATTACTGTGATAGAGACGAAATCTACACTTGTCACCATCAAAATGATGAATCAAGACTTGGACAGATTCGATGGCTCAATTTTCACAAGATGGCAAGACAAACTCAAGTTTCTATTAACAGCCTTGAAGATTTTCCATGTGCTTAATCCAAAATCAGAGCCCATTCGCGATGCAACTGACAAGGATACCGAAGAAATTCGCACAAAAATGAAGAAACGGGAAGAGGACGAATTGATATGTCGTGGCCATATCCTAAACGCGTTGTCCAATTATCTCTACGATCTCTATACCAATACTACATCGACAAAAGAAATCTGGTACTTGCTAGAAAACAAATATAAAGTCGAGGAGGAAGGTACCAAAAAGTTCTTAATATCTAAATATTTTGATTTCAAATTTTTGGATAATGTACCGTTATTGCCACAAGTACATGAGTTACCAATAATTGTAAACAAACTGAAAGCGGTGAAAACCAAACTTCCCGAAACTTTCCAAGTGGGAGCAATTATTGTTAAACTCCCTGATTCTTGAAAAGAATATAGGAAGAAGATTATTCAAAATTCCGAAGACTTTTATTTGGAA